GATCGGCGGGCGGCGTGCGGGGCAATAAAGGTTTAACAGGCGCCCGCTTTCCGCCCTCGCTCCGCAACCTGTCTCCTTTCCCCGGAAAAGCCCATCCGCTGCCCCGGCACCCCCGCCCCTCCGCATCGCAGTCGCTCCCCCTTCGCGGGGCAATGTCCCCACCCCCCCTCCCGCACCCCTCCGCAACCGCAACCATGGTCCGCCTCACACCCTCGCGCTCGTTCTCCTCCCTCCCTCGCCCCATGGACGCGCCGTCGCGCGCCAAGCCCCCGCCGCTCTCGCGCCTGCTGCTCACCACGGTCGCCATGGCCGGCATCCAGGTGTGCTACGCGGCGCAGATCAACTTCGGCACCTCGCACCTCAAGTCGCTGGGCATGCCGCTCCCCCTTGTGTCACTGGCCTGGCTGGCGGGCCCTCTCTCGGGCCTCCTGATGCAGCCGCTGGTCGGCTTCGCCTCCGACCGGTGCACGTCGCGCCTCGGCCGCCGCCGCCCCTTCCTGCTCCTCGGCACCATCTTCACCGTCCTCGCGCTCCTCCTCTTCGCCTTTTCGCGCCGCCTCGCCCACGCCTTCCTCGCCCCGCCCCGCGCGGCTCACGCCTCCCTCTCGCTCGCCGTCCTAGCCTTCTTCCTCCTCGACTTCTCCGTCCAGGCCATCCAGGCCCCGCTGCGCGCGCTGGTCACGGATGTCGCCCCGCGCGGCATGCTGGCAAGGGGCAACGCCGCCATCGGCTTCTTCACCGGCGCCGGAAACCTCCTCGGCGGGCTCCTCGCGGGCGCCAGCCTCTCAAAGGCCCTCCCCGTCTTCCCGGCTTGCGACCCCGCCAAGCCGTTGGAGCTTGAGTCGTGCAACGACGTCGTCGCCGTTTTCACTACGTCAGCCGTTGTCCTGGTGATCACCGTTGCCGTTTGCGTCGTCGCCACGAAGGAGGTCCCGCTGCGCAAGGGCGCACGCGGCCCAGCGACTGCGCCCGGAAGCGAGCCTGGCTCGGTGCGCGCTGCGCGGAGGGATGGTTTGTGGAAGGCCGTCGTTAATGTGCCGCGTCCGTTCTGGCAGGTGTTTGCTGTTCAGCTTTGCACGTGGTGTGGGTACTTTACCCTGTTTGTGTATGTTAACACGTGGGTTGGAACGAATGTCTTTCGGGGGGAGGTCGAGGGCGATCCGACCACTGTCGAGATTGATCTGTTTCATCGGGGTGTCAGGTTTGGGGGGATGGCAAATGCGGTACAGGCTGTCGTCACGCTGAGCTACTCGGCGCTGCTGCCAAAGCTGCTGGAAGCGTTCGGCGTCGCCCCGGTCTACGTCTTCTCCCAGGCGGTTGAGGCTGCGTGCCTGTTGTCGGCGCCTTTCATCCGCGGCTCGCCGCACCAGCGCGCCCCGTCGCGCGCACTCAAGGCCTTCGCCATGCTAGACATTGCCTCGTTCGGCATCGTGTGGGCGACGACGATGGGTGTGCCGTGGACCCTCATTGGCACGGCTCTAGAGTCGGACCCCGCATACGGAAAGCAGCTCGGGCTGTACACCACCCTGTTCAACGCGTCGCAGAGCTTTCCGCAGCTCGTCGTCGCGCTCGTCGCTCCGCTTGTGCTGCACTACGGCGCCAACGACGTGTCCATGGTCATGTTTTTGGGCGGGCTAATCGCGGTGGTCGGCGCATTTTTGGTCGTTACGTTGCACGTCGGTGCAGGCGGGCGTAAGGGGTTGCCGAGGATACCTAGCGCAGGGAGCCAGCATACCGGCGTTTGATGGCGGTCAGGGGTTCCCGCTATGGCGCCTGTGTTAACTTTTGCTCTGTTAAGGAGACTTATAACGCAACGCTCGTGTTCTTCGGAGCGCAAGCTGTAACATACGTATGTACTGAGTGTATCTCAGCACAGTTATAACACATCGTCGCTCACTTGTATTCAACTGTTATTTACACGCGGAAGTCTTGTCTGTCGTTTGTCGGAAACTCGCCCTTCGAAAATTAAATCGGGGAGGATGTAGACTTTTTGTTTGGAACTGTCTTGTTTAGCATCGATAGGCATCGCTTTTCGGGAAATGTCAGTAGACAAGCATTGTTTCACTCTGAACTGCTTCCTGCCAAGACCTCATGGACTGCCTGTCCGACGGAAGGCAACATGTCTGAGGCCAGCAGACTCCGTCCATGTTTCAAAAACGCACGATGCGCCGCAGTCCTCGTCAACACACACCCACAGACTGCGGGGGCGACCTCTGCGACGGCGTGGTCTGGCGACGCTCGATCTTGGAAAGCAGTCGACTTACTTATCCAAGCACTACACAAAGCGATGAGACCCGCGAGAAAGTCGCCTTGCCCCCCCACGCGCTTTAGCGATCCCGCATTCGAAACTTCAACGTAGCTATTTTCCCCGAAAATCTGGTCGGAACTTCCTTTGCCCACGAGAACAACACGACCCTGGAACCACTTTCCAACGTTTTCGGCCTGCGAACTATTCATCGCCTTTTGCAACCGATCCATCTCCACTTTGTTCGGCGTCAATGTAATCTGCAATTCGGGCGGCCCGTTTCGAATTTTCTCTCGCAGCTCGTGAGACTTGGCGATAAACCAAAGCCCATCAGCATCGATGACGAGAGGTTTGGGTTGTCTACATACATAGCTCACGACTTTGTCAACAACGGCCGCTGCTGTTTCCGAACGGCCAAGACCCGGTCCTAGAATGATGGCATGGATGCGGTCCAAGCTTTTGCAATCGTCCCCAAGTGTATCAAACCCAGGGTATACGATGAGGTCCGGAGAATAGCTTTTTATCGCCGGCGCTGCAGACTCTGCGCAGTAGACAGACGACAATTCCGCTCCTCCACGCATTGCCGCCATGGCGGCAAAGTACGGCGCTCCGGTATACTCGGTGCTTCCACCAACGACCGCAATTCTGCCTGCTTGGCCTTTGTAGGAAACACCATCCAGGGCAGGAACAGCCTTACGAAACAATTCGAGGCAGTTCTCTACGGTTGGCGATTTGATCGAAGACATCTTCATATATCTCCGTGTTAGGCGAGAGCGTATCCCTTGGGTCTGTTGAGCACGGGCTTGATAATTTGTTCGGTTCCTTGCAAATTTCCCTTGTGCAGAACCGTAGAATGCTGGCGTCGCAGCAAACGCAAGGCGTTGATTCCCCCTTTGTCCGCCAAAAGAGTAAACCCTACGCATTTATAGTCGTCAAACAGAAAATACGCATCGCAGCAGGCATTGAGATCGAAAGCGGAATACCTCCATAAAGTTGTCGCAGGGCTGACAAAACCCGAAGCAAGGCCAAAAAAAGAATTTGATTTTCCGTCAAAAAGAAACAGACGTGCACTGTGGCTCAACACCATACTTGCCATATGTCCGACGGTGTCCACGGGAAGACATCACCAGTTGTCCAGTGCGGATGTAACCTGCTGCGAGCAGATTGCTGTCGCTCGTGAGCTCGAATTGTTCCGTCGCTTCTGCACAAGAACGTCCACAACACCGCAGATGAGGGAATTTTGAACCTTCACACTGGACTGGCGACATGGCTCGCAGGTCATCTTCAAAAGCTATTATTCGCCGCCGTTTGCTAAAAGCAGTGCGAAACCTCAGCTTAGAAGTCCAAGCCGGTATCTTGATCGGGGTGGGTGTCGTTGTTGGCTTTCTTTTGGGTTTCACCGCATCGTTGGGGAGAAAAGCAACGAGAAACTGTCCCGACTCTCCAATTGCACAGAATCTGAGAATTTCCATTTCTTCAACAGACAGATGCGGGGACCCAAAGTCTCCTTGTTATGTTTTCGTTTTTGGCACCGGTCGCTCTGGTACCCAACATCTATCTCGCGTCTTGAAACCGAAGCCGAACCCTGCTGTCCCAGTGTACGTAACGCATGAAGAAGAGCACCTCAGGGCCCGAACCAAACTCGTTGTCCACAGAGACTACCGAAGGTTGGCTGCTTGTGCAGATAAAGCCCAATTCAGAGTTCAAGCTGAACAATATATCACGCGAGTGAAGCTTCCGTTTTACACCAAGTTGCTTAAGCGACACAGTGCTAAGCGTCTTGTCTACACAGGGCATCTGCCAATGGCATTTGGCCTCGGGCCAGCATTGGTGAGAACGCTTCCCCCCGGCACCGTACGTGTTCTACGCCTGAGAAGAGAAAGAATCGCGACGGCTGTTTCACTTATGGCTTTAGGGCCAGAAAAAGAGGATCCTTGGGGAGCGACGACAGAACGAGACTCGGATGGACAGCTGATTTACGCTGACGCCGTAAACAGACGGTGGTTCCCGAAGCCATCAGATGCCATGGTTCGTCTTCATGTTGAAGCACATGTATGGGCGAAACTAAATCGCTTCCAAAGGTGGCTGTGGTATGTCGACGACGTTGAATGTCGATGGCAAGCCTTTCGCCACAGTCTCGGAAGCCGATTTTCTTTGATGGAGGAAAGTCTGGAGAACCTAAACATGCTAGATGGAGGTCAAAGTTTGGTACGTGTCGCGGAGTTTATGGGAGTGGCTGTCGACTGGTCCAAGGCTGGAGCCCGAGATAACAGTATTGAGCACAAGATGCGCGTCAAAGTGAATGCGTCAGAATCGTCCCTTCGACAGTGGGACGAGGCGTATCGCCAAGCAGTCGGAAGTTGCAGAATTAGTAGTAAATATTCCTATGGTTGGGGCGGACGTCACCCCGAAACCTAGCGACAATCTGCCCCTTGTAAGCAGTTGACAGTTGAGGTGCCGCAGCGATGGGGAGGGTTCTACGAAAGCTGCCAAGGCTGCAGTTCCAGCAGCCGGGTGCGGTATGGTTTTTCTCCTTAATAGTGCGAGCGATAACCCTCTTTGCTTCCGAACTCTGTCTGTCGACGTTCTGAGCCCTCTTGTCGACTGCGCCCCACACCCTTTTCTGCAGATGGCGAGCGATTTCTGTCCACAGACGGTGAGCGATATCTGTCCTTGGGATTGTAACGACTTCTATCCATTGCCATGGAGCGATATCTGTCTGATGGCGGAGATCGATGCCTCTCCATTGATGGAGACCGGCGTCTATCCCTTGATGGAGACCGATGTCTCTGCCATCCAGGAGAATGATACCTGTCCCTTGACGGCGACAAGTACCTGTCCCTTGGTGGAGAATAATGTCTATCCCTCGACCGCGATCGGTATGAGCCCGTACGTCGCGGAGACAGAGAACTGCATCGGCGCCGATATTCCTGGCGCTCACGACGTGTCCGGCCGAAACGATAGCTCTCATCCGAATCGTACAGATCCCGGTCTCGATGCTGCCTGCGGTGTTCATCGTGTCGCACTCCACGTCTCGGCGATACCGACCCCCGGTAGTCTCGAACTGGAGACCGCGATCGCGCACGAGCGGGTGAAAAGCTAGCGTCCCGACTACGAGAACGATAACGGCTTGCTTCTCTCCTCCCTCGTGTTTCGCCGTTTGTCGGTGGCCTACTGTACGCATCACCTTCTTCTTTGCGGAGCCGTTTCCGCGGTGGGCTGTCTCTTCTGTTAGAATGATACCTTCGTGGGGAGGGCGATCTGTAACGTCCACGAGGAGACAGGGATCGCGAATCCGATGAGATAGAATCGTACGAATCGTCGTCTTCACTGTAGCGCGCTCGTCTGCTTCTGTACATACGCCTTTTCCCCTTCCGCGATCTTTCATGTCTTCGCGGGTGTCCGGAGTGTTCCCTGGCAAATCGTCTTTCGTGCGCCTTCCTTCCCGCCGCCAACTCAGACTCATCTGTCGAGCAGAGTTCATCAATATCCCTCGCGCCTCTATATCTGCGACTGTCCTTCCACCCATCGTGACAATCTGGGCTCCGAGGTGCCTTGCCATAGTCTTGACTTTCCCGGAAAGCCCTATTGTGGTATTCGTGTTTTGGTTGTTGGTACTTGTGGTACTTGTCCTCATTCGTTCTGTAGGAATGTCGGTCATTCTCGAGTCTCTCGTCTCGAGGGCCAACCATTGCGTTTAGTTTATCGACGTCTTCATCCCTCTGAAATGGAGATCCGCGAGTCGCAGCTGCCCCCCTCACCACGCTATGGTCATGTTCATCCTTATTGCCCTCGTAGCTTTCCAGACCCGGTTTCTGACGTGGGTGCTCTGTTCTTTCGTAATCGTTTGACTTGGCAGAAGGTGACTGCTTTACGCATTCCTCTTGTCGTGTTGGAGTCGTCTTATGCATGAGAGATTCCTCTAACAGAACGTCTCCGCCTCTCCGTTTACTGCGCATTGGAGGTGAAACTTCCTCTCCATCGAAGCGCCTGGTCGGTTTCGGTGACTCCAACGAACCAGAAGAGGGCGACGAGGGCGTCAACACCGATGATTCCGAGCCAGAGAGCCCACCTCCGTGTACGTCGATAGCCGGATTTTCTGGCTTCTCAACAGCATCCTCTGGGCCTCTTGCGCTCGCACTAACAACGTTTGCAGAGAGCTCCTTGCCCCGCAAGTGAACAACATTTGATCCCGGAGCAACACCAACATTCTCGGTCCCTGCTGCCGCACTGATTTCCTTTTCGATACCAGATTCCTCAAGTTTCTTCTTCTCCTTGTCTGCCTGCATTCTGCGAAGGAAATCCCCATGCTGATAGTCTTTACTAACGCCGAGAACCTCCTTAATCTTCTCATTCCTTCTCTGAATAAGTTCTTCATCATCAGCCACTACGGGCTTGGCTTTTCCTTCCTCCCGCCGCATGCGTCCGTGATCAATTTCCCTATCTTTCTCTCCCTCTTTCTCCTGTTCATCCCTCGCAAGTAAATCCTCCCGAAGCCTTGTTTTCATTTCCTCAATCGTGTCACTCTCATATCCGCGCGCAATCAGCTCCTCTTCCAGCTCAATGACCGCGACCTCGACCTTGCGACGGCTTTCGTGAGCATTAAAGGCTGGTTGCGCCCCAAGCTGCTTGCCGACCTTCTCGCGAAGCGCAGCGTGCAGGGACTTCGGACGTGGTGCACGACGACTTCCAATCCGCGCGCTGCGGCGCAATGCGGCAACGTTGCGCTGCACATGGCCTGAAGTGCCTGTGCCGCGCACAGTCTGTAGGCCGATTCCGTTGTACATTTCAAGCAAATGGCAATGCCGGGAGAGAGTAGCACAATGTTTGTTTCTCGTCGCTTCTTGAGATGCTGTGAGATGTGAAAGCTGTAGCGACGAGATGGGGCAGTACCGCCTTTTGTAGACGCAGCGGTGGCGAGGTAGTCTAGTCTGCACATTCCCCGTCCGCTGCTTTTTCGTCGGTCGACCAGGTTGCACGGCAAGTGAGGTGGACACTGCCGTTCCAAAATTCCCTTTTTTTGCAATTCCTGTTTTCTACACCCAATTTAGTCGTTTCTATTTCGCCAAAGACCTGTTTTGATCCATATGCGCATCTTGCAGAAAAGATGCATCTTCCTGTGAAGGACAACGACACTTTCGTTTTCTACCGGTTATTGAGTCACTACGTCTTTCAGCAGCGATCCGATTCATTCGGAATCCAAAACATTTGAGACTTCCAACAAACGAACATCTCCGCCAAAAGGCACTCTCAGACGTTATGCTGCTCTGTTCATTATCGTTTAGTTCAATACCTCGAATTGCGTGATTTGGCGTTCAATAGTTTGTGTTGATCGAAGAACACAAGCAAATTCCTGCAAATAATTGTTCCTACATAATCAACTGGCTAGAAACGACAGTATCCTTTCGCTGTTTTTGCGACTTGCGGCTTTAACGTCCACGTACACCGCGCAAAACGGATAATAGATGCGACTAGTCCACGCTCGAAGCTTCTTTTTTTATATATTGAAAGGTGGACCATCGTCTTCTCCAAAAAACTGTTGGTGATTATAGGATATATGGCAGGATCCAGTGAGTCAAGCAACAAATGTGTACGTTCACATGGATCGCACAGATATTGTGGAGTCCCGTCAATCTCTAGTGTCTAGGTGACAAATGACCTCATATGAGGTCACTTTTCAACTTATTTTTCTCGACTTGTGCTAGCTCAACAAGATGGAAAAAAGATACTCTCGACACGGCAGTTGACTTCTGCGTTGTGGAAGGG